TGAAGTATCAATATTCTCACAGTAGAAATGATCTGTTCAATTTGAGCATACGATAAAAAATCAATGGAACATTAAATTAAAACATAAATTTAACATTCAAATTGGACATAAGAACAAGAAAACGTTAGATTTTGAAGCATTTGATCAGCATAAACTCGTCATATTCTTAAAAAAAAACAATTATTTTAATCATGAGTTAATTTTGATTCGAATCAAAAATGTATACATTATTCTTTTTAATAAATTAATATAGCTAAGGAGATCAAATTAGGACATGGACCAAGGTCTTATATATAACTTTTATATTCTTACAGGTAAAAGTTACAGTAATCTCATTTTTATATGCACGTGTAACGACAAACAATAGCGAAATTCTACAAGCATGTAAATAATATCAATGTGATGCACCAGGAGGTTGCACCAGAAACTACATTATTAACAAACATACATGTCAAATTCAATTCAAAATAGAACAATGAGCTGTAACATAAGGATAGTGAGCAAGACAACATTTCAAGTGATGACAATGTGAAGAGAGACTGTAATATTTTCATTGTTCAAGAAATAGGGTGCTAATAAGAAACTCTGTGATCGATAAGCGAAGCATGTGCACTTGAATAAGATGTGTGTATTTTCATCTTGGAAGCTGTTTGTCCTGGGGCTTCATAATGTAGAAATATCTTTCATATATTTATATTTCCTTTGAAGTTTACTGGTGCATGACACATAAAGAGGGTTGAGTCTGCCATATTAAAACCATTTTGAATATGCAAATCAGCAAGTCACGTGGAAAACACAGCCGATATAAAGTCACGGTGGAACGGCATGTATCAGTTAGTGTAATGTTATCGAAGACTGATCGCTTTTGGGAAAGGTATGTAATATTCCACTCTGTCACAAAATATTCATACACTAAGAACGTAACTATGTGTTTAGATCAGGAAATTATACTTTTTCAGAAAGAGATATTTCTTGTAATTAATAGCTATGGAAAATATAGGAATATGTGTCAGTTTGGGACACCAGAACTTCTCGAAAGAAACACAAAGGTTAGTGACAAGAGCCTTCCACATGACCCAGGCAAAACGTACCCTACATAATCATGAAAAACGACTCAAGTTACGGGTACACAACTTGTTTCAAGACATAACCATTCAACCACTACATGCCTCAAGCAGATGGAGAATAAATCGAGTATTCATACTATTCTATATGAAGACATACAACTTAAGTCACTTGACGCAGCATCTGTGGATTTCTATGGGGGGAGCCTTCTGTAATATAAATTGGCTTTAGGTCAATTGTCAAGATGCACGGTTATCATACAGATTATGACCAGACATGGCGATATTACTGTAAGGATGTGGTGAGTCTACAAAATCGTTTTAATATAGCGTACTCAACCTATGTGTATTTATAGGACAATAGAGATGCAGTATGTCTATAATAGCTCACATCCAATGATATAACTGAGTTATGTTTTTTTCTCTTAGTCATTTTAATCAATCATTATACTGAAATTGTAGCATTGAAAGAAATGAGCCAGGTAAAACTATTGTACGTATTGAACCAAGTAAAATTATTGTACGTAATGAACCAGGTAAAACTATTGTACGTATTGAACCAGGTAAAATTATTGTACGTAATGAACCAGGTAAAACTATTGTACGTATTGAACCAGGTAAAGCTATTGTACGTAATGAACCAGGTAAAACTATTGTACGTATTGAACCAGGTAAAATTATTGTACGTAATGAACCAGGTAAAACTATTGTACGTATTGAACCAGGTAAAGCTATTGTACGTAATGAACCAGGTAAAACTATTGTACG